GCCCAAGCGACAAAGGAGACCCATACATTTAAGTATTTGTGGCTTTAATAAGTATTATAACGACAAATAATGATTTGCTTTATGTTACATTCAATATTGTGTTCATATTTACAGTCAGTTTCTTCACAGAAACGTTTGTAAAAAAAATCGCTAAAATTACTATAGTTTGCTAACGATAGTCCTGCAACATATTTTCGTCGTCTCCGTTGTTTCCTGCGAACTTCACAAGATGCAAGAAAATAGCTGTAACCCACGCGACTGAGATAACTGCAGCTGTCGACGGGATCTTGAAAGTTGTGATAAACATCGGCGCATCTCCTGTGACGTAGGCGCTAGCGACGACTTATAATGATGTTTAACGGAGGCATAGTGGTGTCCCATTTCTTAGGGGAATATTTTCACCCCTACGCATTGCCACTCTGTTTCAAGGGTCAAGGGGAAGGCGAAGGGGTAGGGCTAGGGGAAAGGGAAGGGGTAAGGGGTAGAATTGGGATTGGCCCTAAGACACAGAAAGAAATTTCTGAACAAATAGGTTGTTCCCAGAGTGCTGTATCAAGGCACCTCAGTGGGAAGTCTGTGGGAAGGAAAAAGTGTGGCAAAAAACGCTGCACAGCGAGAAGAGGTGACCGGACCCCGAGGAAGACTGTGGAGAAGGACCGATTCCAGACCTTGGGGACCTGCGGAAGCAGTGGACTGAGTCTGGAGTAGAAACATCCAGAGCCACCGTGCACAGGTGTGTGCAGGAAATGGGCTACAGGTGCCGCGTTCCCCAGGTTAAGCCACTTTTGAACCAGAAACAGCGGCAGAAGCGCCTGACCTGGGCTACAGAGAAGCAGTACTGGACTGTTGCTCAGTGGTTGCATGTCATTCGGAAATCAAGATGCCAGAGTCTGGAGGAAGACTGGGGAGAAGGAAATGCCAAAATGTCTGAAGTCCAGTGTCAAGTACCCACAGTCAGTGATGGTCTGGGGTGCTGGTGTTGGTCCACTGTGTTTTATCAAGGGCAGGGTCAATGCAGCTAGCTATCAGGAGATTTTGGAGCACTTCATGCTTCCATCTGCTGAAAAGCTTTATGGAGATGAAGATTTGATTTTTCAGCATGACCTGGCACCTGCTCACAGTGCCAAAACCACTGGTAAATGGTTTACTGATCATGGTATTACTGTGCTCAATTGGCCTGCCAACTCTCCTGACCTGAACCCCATAGAGAATCAGTGGGATATTGTGAAGAGAAAGTTGAGAGACGCAAGACCCAACACTCTGGATGAGCTTAAGGCCGCTATCGAAGCATCCTGGGCATCCATAACACCTCAGCAGTGCCACAGGCTGATTGCCTCCATGCCACGCCACATTGAAGCAGTCATTTCTGCAAAAGGATTCCCGACCAAGTATTGAGTGCATAACTGAACATAATTATTTGAAGGTTGAATTTTTTTGTATTAAAAACACTACTTTTATTGGTCAGATGAAATATACTAATTTTTTGAGACAGGAATTTTGGATTTTCATGAGCTCTATGCCAAAATCATTAGTATTAAAACAATAAAAGACCTGAAATATTTCACATTTGTAGATGATCTAGGCCAGGGGTTCTCAACTCCAGTCCTTGCGACCCACTGCTCTGCATATTGTGTATGTCTCCCTTATTTAACACACCTGATTCAGATCCTCAGCTCTATCCTAACGAGCTGAGGATCTGAATCAGGTGTGTTAAATAAGGGAGACATATGCTGCGTCCCAATTCGCATACTATCCTTTCTAAATAGTATTCGAAAAAAGAATTAGTACGTCCCAAATCGTAGTATGTTGAAATGAGTGTTTCAAAGTGTCTTTTTCCGGTCAATCCGAAGTGTAGATCGATGCACACTCTAACGACTGATATTGCCCACAAACCATTGCGCGTTGGAAGAGGATTCGGTTAGAACTACAAACACGAGTAAAAAGTGTTAAAAAAAAACTACAGACACGTAGTCGATACGGAGGACGCGCGAGTCCCTGCGGTTGTGTAAAGAGGTTTAGATAAAGAGCTTTGAGTGATTAATTATCAGTATCTAACCTGACGAAAATGAATTTATTCAATGTTGTCCACATTATATTGCATTTGCAGCAGCATTGTGAACTTTTGTAAAGACACGTTTAGCCATTACGTTTTCAATGCATCATTATAAATTGCAAACACGAGGAGAGCATGAAAGACCCACAACTGGCAGATGAACGTGCTCTCCGAAACGGTAGGAAATCAAATTAGATAGAATGGAGAATTTTAACTGTGACAAGATGATTGACAGGGCAGTTTACGGTGACAGGATGCACGCAGCACGCGACAGAGCTGTCCGTTAAAGATGACGTGATAGTATGTCCCAAAGCTTGCCTACTCTTTTGCTACACACTCAAAAGTATGTACTTTTTCCTCACAAAAAGAGTACATACTTTTAGGGCGTAGTATATGTAAGCGAATTGAGACGCAGCAATACACAATATGCAGAGCAGTGGGTCGCGAGGACTGGAGTTGAGAACCCCTGATCTCGGCAGCAGCCAGATCACCCTGTAGCGGAAGACTGGTTGCCGACTGAAGCCAGGCAGTGTTGAGCCTGGATGGGAGACTTCTGGGAAAACCAGGTTACTACTGGAAGAGGTGTTCGTGAGGATAGCAGGGGGCGCTCACTCTGCGGTCTGTGTGGGTCGTGACGGGGACACTATACTGTCAAAGAGCCTTAACCCGTCATCATGGCCTCCTAATAATCCCCATATACTGATTGGCTTCATCACTGTCTCCTCTCCACCAATAAGCTGGCGCAATATGGCTGCCGTCACATCATCCAGGTGGTGCTGCATATTAGGGATGCACCGAATATTCGGCCACCGAAAATTTTCGGCCGAAAATGGCCCAAAAGGGCATTTTCGGTTTTCGGCCGAAAGACTTTTATCACCGAAACAATACGGCCGAAATGTTGTGATGACGCAACCAGAAACCGCGACCTGCACGTGCTTGTCTGAAGCAACATGTCTGCGGTGTGGACGTATTTCAGTGAATCTGAACCCGCGAGGAGACAGAAGCCTTGTTTATCCACCTATATCTGCTCTAAACAATGCGCGCCGCCATGACGACGACTCCGGATGCGAGCGGGTCAAGTATAAACTGTGGAGACTCGCGCTGCGGAGGCAGGCGAAAGTATGCGCGAGTCTCCACAGACAGCGCGCGCACCGCTCCAAACGGTCGAGGCGTTTATACTTGACCCGCTCGCCGTTGTACTATTCCTTGAAACGACAGGGGACGACTCAAGTAACGGTCCTCTAACCATCAGGAATCAGTGAGAAGTCAGATAAATACATGACAATGTTTATTTTTTAGTATTCCACCACCAATACAAAAATAATCATGTAAAACCCAGTAAACCCTGAGATTAGTACTTGTGACATTACAAAAAAATATATATGTATGTATAGAACTAAATTAATGCTCTCTTAAATATTTTCTACATTCACTAAACATGTTTCATCAAGTTTCATGTACATTTGTATTAATCATGGACCTTTGTTCATTTAAAAAGGCTTTTTATGCTATTGTACGCTAAATTTTTAAAATGTAAGAAACTAATTTAGACGTGCAAAGGGTGCTGGTGTGATGAGAAGTTCGCACTCGGCTTTGTTTTTTATTTCATTTTAAAACCTTTCTGCAGGCTATTAGATTATTATTTAATGTACACATGAGTGGGGTCAAAAACATTTTAGTTTGAATTTTATTTTATACTGTGCATTGTGTTAAATAAATATTTGCATAATTTGTAATTGATTTATTCTTTGAAAATTTTATATTAATTTATGCCATTGCAATGCCTTGATTTTAGTAACATTTGTACACAGTCATAGCCAATAATGCAATGATACTAATAATTGGCATAATTTCTTTCGGTGTTTCGGTTTTCGGCCTTGGTTTCCTCTTTTTCGGTTTTCGGTTTCGGCCAAGAATTTTCATTTCGGTGCATCCCTACTGCATATTGTTGGTGGTTGTGGAGATTCTCTCTTTCATGTGTAAAGCGCTTTGAGTGCAGAGAGATAAATGTAATTTTATTAGCATAAAAACAGCGCTCCCACTAAATAAATATAACATTGCACCAGGCGGGCATTAGGACCTCGAGGACCTTCTGCTGCTGCACACGTGTGTGGACGGTCCTTCTGTTCGGGCGTTCACAAATTCAAGGCATCAATAAAAAAACTAAAAACCATACGCAAAAGTTCACTTCAAGAATCTTATTGCTAACATTCCTTGCACTCATGAGTTTTTGCAGACGCATATATGTTATCATATCGGCAAGGCATATCATAATTTTTTTTTATATCGGTCAATGCCGATTTTTATATGTCATATATTCTTATATTACATATATACAAATACATCAATTCCGATGTTGTGCCGATAATATCGTGCATCTCTAATTACCGGTATATTCAACTGCTTTTTATTTTCAGATATATTAATTACACTCAAATAATATCTGAAATGTTTGTATGCAACTCAGTTGCACATAAGTTAGTTTTCATAAACACTTGTCTTTAGAGGTCAGTCGATAGTGGATTTTACCAATACCTAGGTTGGAAAATAAAATCGCTTCAATCGGCTGATTGCCGATAGTGAAATACTTTTTTTTATCGGCCGATACATCGGTGAATCCCTAAAAAATAATCCTGTTTCGACAAGTTGTAATGTATACATTTTGCTTTACGCTTCTCAGTATTTCTGTGTGTTTTTATAAGATTCGCCATACAATTTATTTTAAAAATGTGAATGCAATACAAAAAGGACACTTTAAGCTGGCGCAAAAAAATCCTGAGCCACTTCCAAATCTGATTTTAAATCATCAAAGACATATCCGATATGTGGACATCTAACCTTCATCTAAACAATACAGTTCTGCGCATGTTCACTACCCCCTGCCCAACATACATGATATCAAAGATTAGAAAACCTCATTAACTGAGTCTTGATTTTGTCTCTGCAGACAGGAGTTTATGATGAGGCGCTGAGCAGCTTCTTTAGAAATGTTGACCAAAGGTAGGCTCTCTTCTCTTGCTCTCTCTTCTACTCTGTTCACGACCTTCTGTTTGTCCACTTGTCATCCTCTCTGCTGATCCTCTTGAGTTATTGTGGGATCTCGTGTGTGTGGTGTTTCTGTAGGAGAGCGGGTGGATCAGACGCTACAGGGGGCAGGATCACTGCTCTAAAGGCCAGGGTGAGCACCATTTTAGGTGATGTATTGGGATTGGAGCATGGAGACAAGACTGTGGTATCTGACTGCTATGTTTTGTGTTTGTTCAGTCAAAAAGAAATGAAGGTTTTTGAGGAAAACATTCCAGGATTCTTCTCCGTAGAGTGGACTTTACATTCACATTTATTCATTTAGCTGACGCTTTTATCCAAAGCGACTCACAATTACTATATATGTCAGAGGTCGCATGCCTCTGGAGCAACTAGGGGTTAAGTGTCTTGCTCAGGGACACATTGGTGTCTCGCAGTGGATTCGAACCTGGGTCTCTCACACCATAGGCATCTCTCACACCAAAGGGCTCTACACAATCCCAGCAGAGGAATAAGGGTCTTATCTAGTGAAACAATCTGTCGTTTTCTATTTAAAAAACAAAACAAACAAAAAACGTTTTAACCACAAATGCTCGTCTTGCACGTCCACGACTTCATGTATTACGTAAGCACGTTTAAAGGTCAGGTCAGGTGTGACGTAGCCTGGCTGCGCCCTCCTACGCACTTCCGCTCAATTTCATTTTACTTCTGTACTACGTCTGGGATCGTTCCATATTAGGGATCGACCGATATGGATTTTTTAGTGCCGATACCGATACCGATTTTTTCCCCATCAGCCTTAGCCGATGACCGATACAGGCTGCCGATTTTCTTGAGCCGATATTTGGAGCCGATACATTTTGCTCCCTCAATTTACATCTTAAAAATAACATGATGTTAACAAATGTTACAGGTCTCAATTTAATAAAAGTAACATTTAACTAACTTCAAAAATTAATATTTAACAAATAGTAAAAATATGTGAGGTAGAACAAGAACAAGTAGATAAACAATTTAAAAAATATTAAAAACATGAAGTAGAACAAAAAAAGTTCAGTGCTGAAAATTAATATTTAAGCATAAATTAAATAATTACACTATTGCACACAGTAGCAAACAGCATAATAAAGTGCACAGTGCACACTGTTCTTCATTTTAAAAGAAAGGAACTATGTACTGCATGGTTTCAATTTTCCTACATAAAATAAAATGAGCATGTCTAGTCTCTAATATTACTGCGATTGCGAGGGAGACAAACTCCACACTCCCCAAACCTCAGCCAGGTGAGCGCTGAATAAATCTCCCACAAAAAGCACAGAAGAACGTTGGCATTCCTTAATCCTATGACCAGAGTTCGTTACCGTATGCGTACTAGGGCTGTCAAAATTACTCAAATGGCGTTTGCAAATTCCCTCTAAAAAACATATTCGAACATCCCGTTGCGCGTTTTGTTGTTGACGCGCATTACATCAATAACAGGACACATTAATAAAAAGAGACATAACTACTAGTATTAGATGGTTTATTTTAGTTTAAACATATTTGACAACGTATTAAAAAGCAAGTAAATCAACTAATGGCCAAGACCGCAGAGCTCACTCTGTCTCGCCCTGGACTCGCTCAGGCACTCTCTCTCTCTCTCCCTCTCGCCCTCACGGTCTCTGCGCGTCGGTTAAATGAACAACAAACAAATGTTGAGTGCTAAACAAGAGTTTTGTGCAAACAATTTAAGGTTGCGAGTTGCGACTCTTGTCCCAAATATAGCAGGCTTCAGTTCATTCAGTGATTGAAGTTTCACAGAACCGACAGTGAGCGCTCCGAGCGAGCTGTGCAGCTGTGGTAACGTTATTAGTCTGCAACCGCGGGCGTGTTTTTCCACATTCAAATATTAATTTTCACCTTCAAAATTAATAGATATTCGAATGTAGAATATTCATAGACAGTCCTAATGCATACTGAACGGATAACCTACACCTTAACTATTTGCAGCTTCTTAATACAATGGCAAGCAGTTAAGTTTTATAGACGAGGCATTCGCGTTTTCCATTTGGACCCACAAACTTGCTTAGTTGCAAGCACATAACAGTTATAGGGCGACGTGTTTCCATTTTCAAAGTGTTTGACAATATTTCAGGAGTCAAACATTTAAAAGATCCTTTGAAAGTTTAAGTTACCATTCTCGTGAAGAGCAGGTTGCACTCTGCTAGTGGAGGAGGGCGGGGCACGTGAACTGCAGCATCTCCAGCAGCACGGAGCTGCCCGTGGCCGCCTGTCTATAAATAACGGCGGGAAAAAAAAAAAACTATCGGCGAACGCGCAGCGGTGTATCGGCCGATTCCGATACACGTAAAAACCTCAAATATCGGCCCGATATATCGGCCGGCCAATATATCGGTCGATCACTATTCCATATCCTTAGGTTTCCAGAAATCAATTTTTTGTAGGACCAATCAGCGAATAGAGGGAGTGGCTGAGAAAGATGACGTTGATGTAAGCGCGTCAGTTTCAATTCAGTAATGGCAGCGGAGAAAGACGTGAGAAAAGCTATTCGGTCCGTTGTTGGAAAAGAAACTGCCGAATATACAGAATTTAAAGCCGGATTGTTATCGTCTCACCTCTTGTTGCACAACGGAGGACCAAGTGAAGGAGGCAGAAAGTTTGGAAGTTTGTGCTGGGCAGCTCGTGCACGATGGCCGTGACATTTTGGACGGACGGTTTAGCCTTGTGTTCGCGGTGTTCGGAAGCCCCGAGTCCTGGCTGCTAAACTATTGTTGAAGATCCGCTCAGGAGTCATGTCAGTCGCTCATATTCCCAACTGTAAATTTACTGATTCTTGTGATGAATAGAACATTTTGAGGCCCTTTGTGCACTCGTGCAGGAGGTTGGTGTATCAGTTTTACATGTTGTAAATCATAAATTGGTTGTGATTTAAAAAAAAATAATTGTCATGAATAAAAATGTGAAAAACCATACTTTGAAGATATTTGATTTTCAGTTTTAGATGGCAATGGTTGATTTATTTTACTAAAATAAATAAATGCCACATAAAAATGTACAAACACATACTTTGAAGACCATAATTAAGGTAATTAAGAAACAATAAGACGTAACATGAAAAATTGTTGTTTATTACACATCTGCAGATAGACACAGACTGATCATTCACTGTAGCTACAGCATTTGCGGCAGATCAGAAACGACCACAGCGGCGTATTTGTAATGATTAGACACAGCTTCCACTATTGAATGAATATATCACTGTCCTTTGTGTCAAATATACATTTCGAATTAATAATTGTTCCTAGATTAACAAAACCTGCGGCGCTCGTTGACTGAAATCCTATTGTAAATATAATCCTCTGATCATTCGGACTTGTTTCCAGCCATTTCGGCGCGTGACATACGTCACTCACGAGAGTCACGACACCCCGTTAGCGATTGGCTATGGCAGATCGTGAGTGACTTTGGGCAGATCCAATAGATTTGAACTTTAATAGTGAACCCGCCTACAAGGAAGAAAACGTTTCTCAATGCAGCGGTTCCAGACTCTATGTGGAAATGAAATGAACTAGAGTCTGGTTGAACCAGGCTAGATGTGACGTGCCGGTAGGTGGAAAATGTAGGGTGAAAAACTGTCACTTTTTTTATTTAGTTATTTATTTTGTAAATGGTGTTTGATTTAATCTAGGTCTGTACTTCCGTGTACATCATGCTTTGACCTTTCAACATGAACACCTTTCAACTGTGTGGCGCATCACAGCTAGTGCAAGACGAGCGTTTGTGGTTAAAATGTATATCATTTTTATCTTTTTTAGAAAACGACCAATGGTTTGGCTAAATACGTCTCTTATTCCTCGGCTGGGAGCCTTTGAAGCTGCACTGAAACTGAAATTTGGACCTTTAACCCATTGAAATCCACTATATGGAGAAAATACCTGGAATATTTTCCTCAAAAACCTTAATTTCTTTTCGAATGAAGAAAAGAAAGACATGAAAATCCTGGATGACATGGGGTTGAGTAAATTGTCAGTCAATTTAGATTCTGAAGTGAACTAATCCTTTACATGTGTACATGGACCAACAATTTACAAAAAAAATGTGCAAATTTTCCTGTTGATTCATAATATTATTCAGTTCTTGTGTAGACAAAATGACCATTCCTATTAAAAACAGCAGAAGTCAATGGGAAGTACCCAACATAATATAAAAACCAATTTGTGTGTGTGTGTCTTCCTGCAGGCCGTATTAGTGGACATGGAGGAGGGAGTCCTAGGAGAAATTCTTCAAGGACCGTTGCGTTCTCTCTTCAACAGCACACAACTCATAAGTGATGTCTCTGGTTCAGGCAACAACTGGTGAGGGTCCGTCTCAGCAGGGACTCTGTCACACTATCTGCATGCTTCTAAAACAGACACAGTGCTTACTAGGGCTGGACGGTATGGTGTTATACTCTGCAAAGAGAGAAATGTGTCAACAGATTCTGCTAAGCAATAAATTAAGAGCACAGGTCAAACCCTGCTGGAAATGATTGTCTGCTTGTCAATGACCGCTTACTTTCCGTCCCAAGGCCTCTGTAATTCAGTTACATTCTACATGTACAATGGCATACATACATTGCTCTTGATTCAGTATGGCATTACCTCCTCTCCAACCCCATGGCTAAAGCCCAACACTTTACACACACAGCCTGATTTCTCCAACCAGCTTGCACAAGGTGGCAGCACTAGCCCAGGCCATTACTTCACAGTCAAAAAAGAAAACACCAAGTGATGAAGTTTCACATGTAATCCTGGTTTTCTGAGTAGGGAACGAGACACTGGGTCAGTAGCTAGCGCTATTTAAAACCCTCCAGGGACTAGTCAACTACAAGTTAGACACTTGTTCACATTTTTTTTCTTTAAGACTAATCATAGCTTTTTTAAATGTTACACAAAAACATAACTAGCCTAATTTGATACCGCGCTGAAGTGTATGCTAGTGTTAGCATAGTAGGTCAAACTAGAATTTAAGACAATGCCTTAACGTGATGGCTATGTTTATACACCCAGCCCCAGGTGTGACAATTTTCCATATACAGGGGTTGGACAATGAAACTGAAACACCTGGTTTTACAACACAATAATTTGTTAGTATGGTGAGGGCCTCATTTTGCATCCAAATACAGCACCAATTCATCTTAGGAATGACAGATAGAAGTCCTTCACAGTGACCAGAGGGATTGTGAGCCGTTCCTCTTCCAGAACAGTGTCCAGGTCACTATATGATGCTGGTGGACTTGCTCCTCCAAAACACCTCAATAATATTTAGATCTGGTGACTGTGCAGACCATGGGAGATGTTCAACGTCACTTTCATCTTCATCAAACCCTTCTGTCACAAGTCTTGCTGTGTGTGTTGGTGCATGATCATGATGATACACGGTTTGAGCATCAGGTGCTCATGATCCTCCAGAAGGGTTTGGTAGTCATCGGCAGTGTCGTGTCCATCAAATACAATCAGGATTGTCATGATATTGGAGCTCAAACCATCACTGATCCACCCGTGCTTCACTCTGAAGATTGGCTGCCAGGCATATAGATGTGAAACCTCCAACATTGGCCAGTGTTTCAGTTTCATTGTCCAACCCCTGTAGAATCACATCAATTCATTGGCTGATGGTGGAAGTGCTGGACATGCACCTCAGATTTTTCTAAGTTTTTGTAGCAATAATGGAGTATGGCAGAGCTAACTTGTTCTCTACTCATGGAACCAGTGTTGCATATGTAACCAAACGTTCCCTTTCATTGGTTCATTTGATGCTACATCAGTAGCTAATGCTGTGGGAACACCATACCACACATAATTCCTGGAATTTGCAAAATTGGAAACTTTCCATGGGATTAATGGAAGTTTACAGGAAATTGCAGCTCCAAGAATACTGCATGAAGCCAGTATACAAAGCTGCTTGCATTGGTGGCCCAAAGTATGAGATAAGCATTCTCTCTGGTGAAGAGATCAACAGAGCTTACACTTTTAATACTGTCATGTCTTATGAAGGCAAAGTTCTTGGCAGTCTGGTGAATCCCCGTACCAAGCCAGGCCTTTGGGAAGGGAATCGGATATACCAGCACATTTATGTTGGGGTTGGCAATCTTTTGTAATCTCACGATTTGATTTAAAAAAAAAAAAAATTATTGCAATTTATTGTCCTTAAAGCCTTAGAAAGAATTTATGCCATCCTAAAGAAAACATGTGCCCCCAAACTTTGAGGTTTTGTCAGAGCCCGTCTAACGGAGAGCCTTGGCACTTCCTATTAGCCCCATTGTGTATCATCTTGGTTGCAGTTCCATTAGAATTCCACTGGAGGTGATCGCGGGCGAGTGCAGAATGAATGAGAGTCTATGGAGCTAAACGGCTAAATGTGTCTCTTTCACCTGCTTGTCGTTGAATCAACATAGATTTTATTGTTGATTCCGCAAGTTCAGTATAGATTATAGGCCATAAGTTGAATGAACGAGTACTTATGTCCTTTCGATTTCTTACATGTCAGGCCGTTGTTGGCCGGAACATGCTGGGATTCTGCTATTGTGTGATGTCATCACATTTTTGAACAGATAAGTGAAGTTAAAAATAGAATTTTCAGCTGAGTGTATTATCTTAGCCCTCCCTTTTGAATGCAACTTTCAAATTACTTGACAAAAAATTACATCCTGAGAAAAAATTATTTCTGGGGGTGAAACCACATAGACTCTCATTCATTCTGCACTTGACCGCGAGCACCCCCACATGGACAGAGACGTGTTTCTGCAGCCAGTCCAGAAACCGGAAGTGCCAATTCTCTTCAATTAGACATTCTCCGGTTTTGTTGAATTATTATTTTTTAACCCTCTAAGACTGACGGGAGCGCCGGCGCTCCGGTTTGCGTGTGTCTGTTTAACAGCCTATAGAAACTGAAACCAAATGGCTAGCTCAATCATTCTTTTTGTTCAGACATGTTCAGACGAAGCCTCCAACATGCTCATGTTGCATTGTTTTCACCCTCTAATGAGTCTGTACAAATTGCGTAAAATGTGTTTCACAAAAAAACACAACAATGCATTGCACGTCTTTGCACACATGTTCTGTAGATCTACGATTGATAGTTCCATCTTCCGATGGCGCATTGACGTATCACGTTCTGTGCACTATGACAGATCAAGCCTCAACATGCTCATGCTGCATTGTTTTCACCCTCTAATGAGTCTGTAATATGCGTTTCCAAAAAAAAAACGTTATGTCGCGCAACGTTATGTCAAAACGAAAGTACACGGATGCGCTGAACTCTCCGTCTGCTCATCGCCTTTATTTATTTATTTATATTTATTTAATTATTAATTGTTCTGACAGGGTCTATTTATGGCTCGTTTCCACTGAGGGGTACGGTACGGTACAGTACGGGTCGGGTCGGGTACACCATGATCAGGCTTGCGTTTCCACCGCCAACAGTACCCTTATTTGATAGGCGTGGTATGCTGGAAAGAATTAAGCGATCAACGTCATTTTCGCGTGAAGAAAGCGACATAGTAAACAATAATGGATGACAGACAGCAGATCTTGTTCTTGCTTCTCGGCATGTTTGTCAGTAGAAACAAGCGCTGGCATTAGGCGTTTCCAAGAAGCCAACGCAAAGTCCGACTCAGGACAGAGAATGATCCCGAGGACGCGAGTCCAGTAATTCTGCTAATGGAACAGCACGTTCTTGAACGCGGCACTCTGCTCGCTCTGGCTCTTCGACTCCGGTTATCTCTGTATGTTCATTTTAGGCAACAATAAAATGAAATATGTTATAAAACACCACTTATCGATTTCTTTCACTTAGCTTCTTTTCGATTTCATTTCAATACATTTGAAACATTCTAAAGCACATAAATGTGGTTCAGGCAACGCATAGCCTATTGATTATATTCACTGCATGTATGTGACGTTATATTTATAACAAAACTAAATATAAAACAACCCTGCCTCTTTTCGTTTAAATTTAAAAATATTTAACATATTCCAGGCAATATGTAATGTAATGTATTGCATATCGCATTGGTACAAATGTTGCAATAAACAACATTACAGATGATCTTGTAATAAAATTAAAAAGAATTTACAAAACTATCTCTTTTTGTTGAATTTCAGTTTTATCAATAATAGCCATTATAAAAGTATAAGTAAAAGGTACAAAAAGATATACAGTAAAGCTTAAATAACATCAAGAAACAATTCAGTCAGTCAAATATACAAATTCAGCGCTCAAAGATATGAAACTTTACGTAGCCTTCTGCCAAAACTATTGGCCAGGGAACGAATTATAGATTCACGAGACCAAAGATCACCTGTTAGGTTTATACAAGACAAACTATATCTCATGTTTAACCACTACAGAGAGACGTCCAAGTCAGCGGCAAACATCAGAACGACTAGCCGAGGAAAGGCTGTTCCAGGCGGGGACACGAGCGCGAGCGTCCGGTGATCGAATGGATCTCAGTCAAATTATCAAAAATCTATAAATAAACCACAGATTTGATCTTTAAAAAACTACTTTTTCGCCTGAAAAACTCTTAAAACTACATTTCGTGACACAATAACAGTAGTATTATATTTCAACCGGATGCTTCTAATGCCCTTGTAGCACGCGCGAGTGACGATACTCTGTCCACCAATCACCGTTCTGCAGTGAGTCTAGCTCCACCTTTTATGGCTCGTTTCCACTGAGGGGTACGGTACGGTACAGTACGGGTCGGGTACATCATGATCAGGCTTGCGTTTCCTCCGCCAACAGTACCCTTACCTGATAGGCGTGGTATGCTGGAAAGAATTAAGCGATCGACGCCATTTTCGCGCTAAGAAAGCGACATAGTAAACAATAATGGATGACAGACAGCAGATCTTGTTCTTGCTTCTCGTCATGTTTGTCAGTAGAAACAAGCGCTGGCATTAGGCGTTTCCAAGAAGTCAACGCAAAGTCCGATTTAGGAGAATGATCCCGAGGACGCGAGTCCAGTAATTCTGTTAATGGAACAGCGCGTTCTTGAACGCGGCACTCGCTCTGGGTATGCGACTCCGGTTATTAGTGGCAATCGGGTAAGTCGGGACTTTTACCGGCGGTCCGGTAGTGTTTCTATAGTTTCGAGGCTGCGAGGGCCGGTCTGATAAATAGTTATTGCAAGTTCTTGCCGCCCGCTGGTCAAACTGTGCAGCCACTCTGCTCAACCCGTAAATAAATGCATCGATCCGCAGATCTTATGTTTGAGTTCTGTAGATCTTTTGCCAAGCGTGTCAGAGGTTATGGGTTCTAAACCGCACTTGTATAGTTTTTCTCTCTCACATCAAATCCGAATATGTTCATC